GTTCGCGCTGCCGTCTAATCCAATGTAGGAAGTGTTACAAACAGCTGATCGGATCAGCAAAGCGTGTTTCTGGAATATTATGTATTTGTTGCTGCAAGCGCTTTTTATGCAGTTTTTGCAAAGCTATATGTGGAAGGAAACTGTGACTTAGGACAAGCTGATGGCATAAGATGTAAGTACAACTCCTCAGGTTTCATATGCAAAAAAAAATATTGCGCTAGCTCACGTGGTTGCAGAGCTACCGGGATTTAAAAATAGTTACGCAAAACAGAGCGTGCCCGCTCCTACCGGTTTTAAAGGGTTAAATGTATATCGTGATAAGTATTTTTGGCCATATCGCCTTGCCCTACATTGAATTATATGTGTGGGTGTGCACAGGGACTAAAAAAACAGCCCTGGACTTTGACTGGGCCCGGCCCAAAGTAATCGGCATGCGGAAACTCTGTAACAATAATGCTTGGCATGAATGTTACAAGACTTTAATTGTAGCTTATGCTATCAACCCATCAAAATTATAGCAACAGTGCTGATGTTGACTAGATGTTGTATTAAACGTATATTATTCTAGATTAACTTGAATACTCACATAGAAATGGAGGTCTCAACATACTGCAGTCCCTCTGGCTGAACCAATACAAAACAGTTATCTGAAACACACAACACATAGTACTGTATGAGTTATGATAAATCACAAAGTAAAGAGGTTTTAGTATGCAGGTTAACTTGAATACTCACCTTACTCAATGTTGGGGGATAAGTATTTTCTTCAACAGGTCGCTTTTTTCTGCAACTCTGTCTATGACCAAGTCATTGTCAAGGGACATGAGGATGTCTTTCTCTGTAGTCATAGGCATGAATGCTTCCAGGTGTTCTTGCGACTGTGTGCTTCTTATTCTAGTTTTTATGTGTTTGAGAACAGAGAAACTTCTCTCACACGCTACCTGTGTCACAGGCAGAGTAAGGAGGTACCTGTATCCCCAGCCAAGAATATGATAAGCATCTGTGAAGAGGTTGTATCGTTTCAGAATCTGATAACAACAGACTGGGCATTCCTTGCAAGATTTGTACTGTTTGTTTAGTACATCTGTGTTCTCTTCTTTGCCATCATCACAGCCAACCCCTACCATCCTGACCTTCTACTCTCCAAGTGCAGACATTTTAAGCCGTGGCCACTGAGCAGCCAGACACTTTAACTCAGACTGCAAATTGACAGCTGTTGCTCTGCTGTCAAACCTGAGAAGGTATTTGCTAAGTTCTTGAAATGCAGAATCAGGCAGAGTACCTGATGCCACTTCAGCAAAGTTTCTTGGATCAAGAAGGGCTGGCACGTTGCTGTGTAGCTGTCTGCCTGACTTCTTCACTGCTGAAAACTTGCTGCAAGGTGCTGCTGCTGGCTGTGCTGCTAAATATGTTAGTTTGTCTGTGACATTTACAGGCTTCAGCATCTAACACCCGCAATTTTTGTTCTCTTGCCTTCTCAGCCCCACCCTTTTCTTTCATTTTTTTTTACTTGCAGCCGTGTTTTGCATCGTTTCTTTCCACCGTCTTTGCCTCCTACTCCACCTTTTCCTCCTACCAGAGTTGCCAACTCCTCAGTAAGGAAAATCGCTATTGGCTGTCCTAAAAGTGCGACTAGAAGTCGCTAAATGACGTCATCGCCTAATTAGCATAATTGGTCATGCTTGTAAACTACGCTGTAGGAGAGAGAAATAGCACCATGGACGAGACATAAAGTGAGTAATAAACATCCTAAATGCATTTAGGCATTTATATTTACAACTACAAGTTACATTTCTTTTAGTAATTATTGTTTTAATATCATAATTCCCACCCTCCTCCTTTATCCGGGCTTGGGACCGGTGTTTTTTCCCCCCTTTTTAAGTAGTTTTAAACCACACAAGAATAAGGGTAAAAGAAGAACATTTTTAATCATAATGTTGTTAACAAACTACATTAGCAATCTAAATGGACCAAAAACAGGCAGTAGAAATAAACAGTGGCAATGCAAAAAAGTGCTGGGGACTAGTCTGGTCCTAATTCAGGCTGATTTTTTTATTTTATTTTATTTTTTTCAGACATCCAGGCTGTGCTGGCTCACAGAAAGTGTGGGTCATCCTCATTTTTGTCAAGATTCTCTACTGCAGGTTCAGCAACTGTAGCACTTGACTTAAATGAGTACGCAGCTGATGTGCCAAAAAGCTGCAAAACATTGTCAGGCAGCTGGTGCTCATAGCAAGCCTCACCAGACAGCTTCAGTCCATATCGGATGTACAGGATGGAGTTAAGGCTCTGCAAGGACATCCGATTTCTAAGTTTGCTTTTTACCACACTCATCTGGCTGAATACTCTCTC